ACAAGTGACAGGTTATGGGTTTGCCAAATGCTGGTCTTCCCCTACCATTTCCTTTCTTTTTCTTCTCACTGAACACCACAGGACGGGTCAGCACTCCATCTTGGTTTTTAGCTGTCGTTTCTTTGTCTGAGGATCTGCCCCTTGTGACATCTTTAAGAGGGCGGCAAGTTCAAACAAGATGGCTGCCCCACATCTGGACTACATTTCCCAGAATGCTGCTGGGACTGAGACGCTGCCCTAAAATCACCTGACCAACTTCTGCCAGACAAGTGGTCAGGAGATGGTTTAAAAAACCAGGATGCAGAGGCTTCCAGCGTTGGTTAGATCTGTAATCCTTTATGGTACGCTTGCACCAGAGGAAAATCGGGTTACCAGACGAGGAATTTGCCCATCATTCGCTAACCCCTAGCGAGGAACACTGCACAGAACCTGCAGTCGAGACTGTCATCTCACGTGGAGCCACTGTTTGGGCCAACAGGAGCATCAGTAAAGTAGGGAACATCTACATCACCCTTGGAAATCCTGACCTTTGATGTGGAGCATCTAGAGTCGATCGCAAGCACATTGTTTCAGCTCGTTTCTTGTGAGTCGCTAGTGTTTCCCTCCTTCGTGGGCCCTAAATATTTTGTAGGCCCCTAGGCACTGTGCCTGCAGTGCCTGATGGGAAATCCGGCACCGCAGTCACCAATTAAACCTGTTACTGGGAGGCAGCAGGAGCTCGTGGAACCCTGTGTGTCTGGAAGCCTTGCAGATACAGGCTGGGGACGGGCTCCAGCACCAGCCGGGTGTAGATTTTCCCCCTAGACTTCCAACCACAGGCCCTGGCAGCGTTGTGTGGTTATGCCCAGAGGGGCAGGGGCGGTGGAGGGCGGTCCTCACCTTGGTGGTGCTGGGCCCGCCGGTGCTGACGTAGCCCCGGCCGAAGATCTTCTCGTAGCGCAGGATGCCGCGGCGCGAGTACTGCTGGCTGTCCAGGAACTGCTGGAAGGTGTCGAAGCCCCCATTGGCCGAGCGGTCGCGAGGGAGCTTCTGCAGCAGCCAGCACAGCTGGTTCTGGTTGTTCTTCATCTGGAAAGGGGAGGGGAACATGCCAATCAGGCAACAGTACAGGGGGATCTGCAGCCCCTCCCTCTGATGGCCAGAGGTTAGGGGAGGATCTCATGGACATGTTAGACCCTTCGTAGCAGCCATATCACCCTGCAACTCATAACTGGCAGCCCCACTGGAGACTCAGCAGGTGTGAGCCTGTTCAGTACCTGGAGGGGGAGACTCCTGGGAAAGCTGAGGCTGCTGCTGGAAGAGGTGTTAGTGGGGCCAGCAGGGGGCGCTCACCCTGCAGTCTGTGTGGGTACTCATGCCCCAGTATAGTGACGGGGGACACTAGACTGCAAACAGGCGCCGTCCTTCGGATGAGACATAAAACCGAGGTCC